CTCTCTTTAAGCATTATTGTCAGTCTTATATTCATGTTCCCCATCTACTTGGCAATACAGGCTCTGGCAACAATCACACATAGAAAAAACATTTTGGTTTAAATTGTAATAAAATATATGTTTTAAAAACTCTCATAAACCAAATCAAATTTCCATTAACTCCTCAGTGACAGGTACGGATATAGGCATCATGATGTAATCATGTATATAACTCACTCACTCAGAAAGCGGCCAGCTGCACATAGCACAAGCCCTGTAAGAAAGACTAAACTGTTGCGTAGTAATTATGTCACAAAATATTTTGACCCCATCATAATGGGCTTAATGACGGCATTATCACAGTTTGAAGGTTGAAAAAATGTAAATGCACTTTTCTACAAAAAACACTTTTAATATGTGTCCTTATATATGACATGCATCTTATGATAATGAGTGTATAGCTGCAGTACACATGATATGAAGGGAAGGCCATTTTTTTTATTGGGTGTGCTATTTGCTATGGGAAAAGTCCAAAATACCCCTCCCCACCACATTTTTGTAAGAAAACTATTCTGAACCACTGCACTCATGAGGGGGTAAACTAGAAAACTTGTTCATTAATTCTACCTTGTGTTCAATAACTAATGTGAGGAAAAGAAAAACAAAAGTATATATATGACAATCAAAAACTTACGTACAACTTTTTAGAAAGATAACTTGAACTTAAACTTAAACATTATTAAACAATAACAACTCAATAACAACCTTGAAAGCTTCATATATTCTTTGTATTACAAATACTTACCATTCAAACATATTTTTTCTGAAATTTCAGTCAGTATGTTTCCTAAGAAAAAGACTGTCTCACTCTAGACCACACACAATAAGAAAAAACTACAAAATACACATACATCTTCCAAGAAACACATATTAAAAAGATGTTAATTCCTTGTATTTTTTAGCCAGAGACAAAACTGTGAAATCCAAAATTTAGAAATCACGACCCACAGCTTGAAAGCTACACATTTGAAACATTGTGTAAAATGTTGCTGTCTTTCCCTTCTTTTGCAAATTAAATATTTCTCACAAAGCATTACAAATTATCACAACACATCCTTAAGCTACCATGGCAAATAAAAAGAAAAAAAAATCTTGTTACAGTAATGTGAAGGTTACAGAATGTATTAAGCAGGAATGTCCAACATGCAAGGAATGAAGGAAGTACTAACCTGTTTTCCCTTTTCATATGGCACCTCCTGGGTGTCACGAGAATTTGTTACAGGTTTGTTCTCATTGTTCTCCAGCCGAATGTGCCGCAGTTGGCTATTTGGAACGTCCTTTACAAATATCCACTTCACTCGAAACTGGCCTTTCCATTTGTCTTGGGCCCACACTGATGATGATGAGTTGTAGTCTACAGTGGAAATCATGTGGGCTAATCCACAAAAATGTCCAGATCCATTCACTGAGAAGAAAAGGTACACTGGCCCCTTACCCTCTCTTTCACGGAAAGCAGAGTCAAGACGCTTGTTGCCGTGTTCTGTGGAGCACCATATCTCATATTTGATAGAACGGTGAATATCGTCCTCTGAATAAGATTTAATCACAAAGAAACGTGCATTTTTAGGACTAAGGTCAAAATCCTTAGGGTTGTAGTCATTGCGCATTCGCAAGTCTTCCAAGATACCATCATCTGTCTGTAGCTCGTTAATCTGTCCTGGGGCATGAGACATGGGCCGGGACACAGGTACCGGTGGCCCACTCTGAGGTGACGGGGCAAGTTCCATGTTGGAGTGCATTCCTCCTCCCGCAAGCATGGGTGCTTGAGGGGGTTGCTGCTGCTGGGGTGATGGAGGCAACTGCTGTTGCAGTTGTTGGTTCTGGTGCTGCTGGTGCTGGTGCTGGTGCTGCTGGTGCTGATGTTGCTGATGTGACTGGTGTTGCTGCTGAGGATGCATGTGCTGCTGGTGTGGGTGTTGCTGGAGTGACTGCTGTTGCTGCTGATGCTGTTGTGGGGATGCCTGCAGCTGCTGCTGTTGCTGCTGCTGCTGTTGTTGCTGTTGTTGTTGCTGCTGTTGTGGTTGACCTGGCTGCTGCACTTGCTGAGGCTGAGGCACCTGGGGTGGGGTGCGAGGTGGTGGGGTAGAGTATGAAGCAGAGGTAGTGGATCGCGTGCCTCCTCGTGGAGCTTCCCATGCAGGGCGGGGGACAGGTGGGGGTGCAACGGGTTTCGGTCCACCTCCATTCTTCCCCTCCCAGGTTCCAATGTCCATATGACGACCAGGTACAATGGAGGACATTGTAGTCTTGTCTCGCCGTCTATTTGGTTGAGGCTTGGCTGGCTGGGAGGCAATACTAGCCCAAGACATACCCTTCTTTGGTTGCCCGAGTCCAACTGATGTTTCTCCTCCTGGACTGCTGGCCCCACTAGCCTTAACTTCAACTCCCCCACTCCCATTAGTGGCTGCATTTTTATTAGCTCCAGGTCCACCTTCCCTAGGCAAATCCTGACCTGTTTTGGGGTCAGCAAGAGTTAGTCCCTCTACACCTTGATCCAAAGCTTTTACACGTTCATCTGTGTAGACATTATCTCGCTGGTAGTAGTCGTCGTACTGCTTGTTCCCTCCACGAACCTCTGACCCTCCCCATGCATTGTAGTCACCATTCCCATGAAAACCATAGTTAAAGCCGGGAGGGTTGAAGCCACCAAAACTGCCACTACTGAACATGCCATCAATGGCACTGTGTGAGTCATATCCCATCTGTCCGCCATAACCTCCGAGGAAAGTCTGCATGTGGTCACCCCCATTACTCCAAGTGCCGTCTCCAACGCCGAATGCCTGTAAAGACCAGGAGAAGATTAAGAATAGTTATATCTATTATAAAGCAATAGATCTTAAATGACAAAGAAAGAGAGGTCATTACTCTTTAAATATCATGCCATAATTTCCATGGTTCTTTCTTATGAGTATCTATAAAATCTGAAATGAAACTTTTTTTATTGGTAATTCTAAATAATCAATTACTTGGTCTATATGACAAATAGCAATTCAGTTTATTAAAAATCCTGGTATTATGATTATTGTCACTAATCATATATGTAAAGAGACTAATTTCTTTTTCCAAGCAATGACAAACTGCCTACTACTCAACCAGCTCAAATTCTAAAAAAACATCAGATTATTCAGCTTTAGAAGAGACAATTCATTACCTTAAATGGAAAACAGGGCCAGTACATAAAACTAAAAGAAAGCACGCACACACACAAGCACGCACACACACAAGCACGCACACAAGACGCACACACACAAGCAGCACACAAGCACGCACAAACTCAGCCGCACACCACAAGCACGCACACACACGCAGGTGCAACGCACAAGCATGCACGCACGCACGCACGCACCAAAAGCCTGCTAATAAATTACACAGGTCTTCAGTATAGGATACACCTGGTAAGGAGTTGAGGTCATATAGTAAGACGACATATACGGGTCAGAAGCAGCTGCAGCCGCGGCCATCGAAGATGTCATGGGACTAGTGTAACTCTGGAATGAGGAGTAATTCTGCCCGGAAATTATACTGATTTCTTCCATCAGAACACAAATCTTAAATCTAATTCAAACACTAAGCTATATTTCAAAATGATGAATCATGCATATGTACAAGAAATAAATTTCTCGCGACTGAATATATTTACTGAATATATCTATAGCACTTTACAGTTCAACTGTACCCAGAATATAAATCATACATGTTCAGACCTCCATAAGCTAGTCTACATTACCAAACACTGAAGTGAAGTTTTCGCATTAAAGGTCACATAAGTTACCTGGTCTTTCGGCCCATTTGGCACTGCAAAGGAAATAATTTTAGATATTATTATCATTTTCACAGGGATAGACTACTCTTTTATCAAAATTCTTATAAACCCTACTCGCGTTTCCATATAACATCTTCCTCAATGGGTAAACAACTAAGAGACATGTGTCCTGATAAGCTCAGATGAGGACACAGGAAAACCATACCAATATTCCCACAGCATCTTGGAATATGATTATGATGATTTCAATACACATCAGGCCTTCAGAATGATTATGGGAAATCTCTAAGTAACATCTTTCATACCACAATATTTAACTGTCATTAAACAGAGTAATCTGACGATATTCATCAATACGAATATTAGAGGACAAATAATATTGTAAAATCCACCAAATGAACAACTCTTAATCCCAAAGATGTCAAAACAAAATCATACTAACAAAATTACACTTCATCATCATATTAACAACAACAAGTATAAAAGAAAAAGAAAAGGTACAAAAATAAACATTACCAATGTAACCATTTAAAAAAGCTAATACAAAAATAAAATTACTAAACATTAAAAATAAAAGATAAAGAACAACAATAAAAGAAAATAATTTTAATTACACATATTCTAATAAAACATGTAACATTAAATGTAATTAAAAAATAATAATAATCAAAACAACAACATAACATCACTCTTAACAAGTGTAATATTAACATGACCCAAAACATAACAAAACAATTGCTGCAGCACTGGCAAAATTGCCAATAGGTATCAAGAAAATTTCATATTGCATATATTTCAGGATGGAGCATTGTACACATGTCAGTCTATATCATACTATAATCAAGTTTTTTGACTAGACTACATTTCAGATTTATTTTATTTCTTTATAAACAATTTCTAAAGAGAAAAAAATACAACCTTAACATAACAATTGTGATAATGGCAGTATGCAAAACATATAGTATGTACCACAATAAAACTCTGAACCACTGTGATCCTGCAATAAATGGCAAATTTAATTTCTGGAGTAAAAAGATTTTTAAAGAATGAAAAACTAATAACAATGTTACAAGAAGTAATGTAATAGGAATAACACTGGTAGTAATGGCATTATAACATTAATCTTGATGATAGTGAGGCATAGACAGGGAAACAGAGACAGACAGACTATACGAGACAGGTAGAGAAGACAAACTGA